ACCCCGAAATAGGCCTTACCAGGTAGGCTCAGGCATGTGATCCCCCTGTAGTTAGATCACATCCCTTGGTCCCCGTTTTAAATAAGGGAATCACCACCCTGGTCGGCCAGTCCAGTGGACCTGCCCCCGATGTTCACGCAATATTGCAGAGCCACGTCAACCAACACAGCCCTACGACATCCAGAGCCTTAAGGAACTCCGGGCAGATCTCATCCACCCCCAGAGCCTTACCACCAAGGAGCTTTTTGACAACCTCAGTGACCTCAGCACCAGAGACTGGAAAGTCCAACCCAAAGCCCTCAGGCTCTGCTTCCTCACTGGAAGTATTCTGCCCACCAATCAGAAACGTAGAACACAATTTGAACAGTTGTTCACTGGATTGTTCTAACAGTACTGTTAAATACGTTCAGTCACTAACGTAATCTGACTCAGTTGGAGCTAATTTGTGTGTGTGATGATCTCGGAGATGATAAATTGGGAGCGTCACAACTTTTTTTTTCCACTAGTTCCGCAGATGGATGAGCCATCGTTCAGATATCTTTTAGCAGCTTTGGGAGTCTAAAATATTTCCTCACGGGACACTTGAAGCCCTTCCTAGGTGGAAACGGGGCAGTCCCGGTGGTTGTTGACCCTGGTTCTGTTCGTTCAGTTTCACTTTTTCTTTGGTCCGCTAATTTTATTTATTTATTTATTTGCTGTGTTGGAGACGTCTTTACGGTGGGTTAACCGCAGCGTTTCACACTGTGGTTAATAGTCAAACTGGTTAATCCTTGCAACCCTAGCTGGATGTAGCGTCCAGCAATGGTCAGTTTAGGCACTGTTTGACCTTTCACCATCTATTCAACATCTGGTCAGAAAGGAGACACAACATTGCTTGTGTTCCCTTAAAATGAGTCTGCCTTCACACCAGCTGGGATTCACAAGTCTGAAAGATAAACAATAACTTTCTTTCCCAAGGTCTCGTATGTCAGCCTCCACAGAAGGAACAACTCCTGCTCGAATCAGTTGCTAAATTCAAGAATGATTTACTAAATCAATATGAACTTCTTCCATGACTCATAATCTAGATAATCATTAAATAAACATTTGTTTATTACTACTTATAATAATTATAGTATAATGAAATGCTTCATTAATCTGTGCAAACTGAATGGATGTTATGTTTTGTTTGTATAGTAGAACCTGCCATGTGTTCACCATGTTTTGACGACAGGGTCCTCACACCTGCACTCACACCATAACAAGTACAGTTAAGTTAAGACTACAACACATAACTTGTTTTTCCTTACCAGCCAGGACTTCTGATATCAAAGAGGGCGTATTTCTGAGTTGCCTTGGTAAAACATCTCTAAACTTGTCAGCCTCTGACTGGCTGTGCAAAATATAACATCAAATCCCTAAAACTAGATCACTTTGAGTAATTTGCCAGTTCTAGAGAAAGCTTCAGACCGGCCATCTGTAGCCAAACCTCTTTAACAATCAAAGATTTTGACACGTGATCAAAACCTTTTTGCACCTGCAAATCTGATACAGCAGACAGTTCCTGCAGAAACGAGCTGATATTGTTCAACTCCTTAAGAGTTATTCCTGAGATGCAAGCTGATCCCAACCTGGGCTGCCTGGTGACAACTCTGGACTGGAGAAGTCAGTGCTTGGGGTCAATCTACTGGACCCGGGTGCCCCAAGGTCATCCGACCTCTCTGACGTCTGGATCCGTGACGAGGGTCATCAAAAAGGTGAGGTAGAACACTGAGAGATTGCGTCTGATGTGCTTCTGACGAACAACTTCATAGCTTAAGGAATCCAAATTATTTTTCATCAGGAGACGTCGCTTTCTGAGATGAGGAAGTTCTGACCAACAACACATTGGCACATAGCCTTCATCACATTTAGCTTCATCCAATCACAGAAAATGTTTAGTTCACTTATCATGTTATAATTGTAATAAAATAATTTCTTACTTTTATAAACCTGACTCTTTTCTGAATCTAAACGAAGTGTGTATAATTACTTAATAAAGCAAAAATCCTAGAATCTTCTGACTAAGCCCTATATCTTCTGATATTTACAATAAAGATCAAGCAAGGTAATATTACATATTTATACAGAATATCAAATAAATAATAAATTTTCCTCCGCTACATGGATATACGACTTACAGAAGTTATATTACTACATTCGAAAACATGTACGCAGTTAGAAACATGAATTTCATGACAAAATTGCTTAACCCTTTCCAAAACGCCAAAGAACAGAATCCAAAAACAGATGCAATATATTTTGGCCGAGTGGTTTGACGTCATCTGCAGGTGCAGGACCTCGAGCAGATCCAAAATCTACAGCGCCAACAACACGGAATTGGTGCGACGGATCAAAATTTTTACGGTTCGAATCCTATCACGGTTTTCAGTCATAGATCGATCATTTTTCGGATCAGCAGATCAAAGCTTTGCTCTCTCTTTGTTTTGTAGAACACTTAGTGCAACATTTTCTGCTCAATTTGCAGCTTGCTATAAAAGCAGGATTTACAGAAAGGTCCATTGCTGATTAAATGTTATTACTGCTTGCCCTACACATAGACATGTTCTCCCATAATGTCCAGCTTTCACTCATCTGCTCACTTTTCTGATGCGTTGTTTTTCTTTAGTTCTTTTTTTTACAGACTTGTCCCCAACAACACTTACAGGTCCCACACCGTTTATGTTGTCCAAGGCATGTTTCATGCACCACCCCCTCCTCCTCTCAGAGCGATCGGAGGGGCGTGCAGCACCGCTCCACGTCGTTGGACTGGAAGTGTGTTTGTGTTACTTTTTACCATTTGTATCATTGTCTTTTACAGGAGAGCCAAAATGCTCCCACACATGCGACCTAAATGATGCAGGTGGTTTTTCAAGCTCCTCCCTTCCTCCACCAGGACCACCGCTGTGTGTTTCTCCTTTGGAACAGGTGGTGCCTCCGCCCTCCACGTGACCCACCTGCGAACCGCATGCTTGACCGAACCGTAGAGAGAGATCCGTACGGATCAACGATGATCTGTTGCACCACTACTGGTAATCAACAGTTAAGGGGCGTCAATAACCAGTTGCAGAAATTTGGGAAAACATGCATCCCTACCTGTTATATCATTTAACATTAATGAAGGAAAATTCCCATTTTTGTTCTTCTCTCCTTTAATACTTGAAGGTTTTATTTTAAAATAAACTTGATCAAAAATGTTTGATGACAAATTGAGCTTTTGAAAATGAATCTTTAAAATGAAAAATAACCTTCTGACATCTTCATTTACCAGAGAACATTAAAAATGGACTAAAACAATCATTTGCTCCATATTGTGATGTTTATCTGTCGACTGTTGTCAAAACTAACATCGTGACAGTTTTTCACAATATTCCACATCGCCCAGCCCTACCACAAAAATCAGGAACCAATCAACAGGTGAAGTCACATGACCAGCAGGCAAAGCCTGATATTTACACACACACACACACACACACACACACACACACACACACACACACACACACACACAATGACAGCTGATAAATAGAGTCTTGGTTTTATTCCAACCTATCAGCACCTGCATCTCCACTGGAGGTAGTGGGAATTGAACCAACACACGGTGCTCCAAAAGGCTGGTTGGGGTGAGGGTGGGGAGGTGGGAGGACACCGCTCTACACATTTACAGACGCTCCCTAAAGCCTCTCCGTCGGCTCCATGAGGGAGAGACGCATTGACGTCTTGCTCTCAGACTTCTCCGTCTCCTGGGGATTGCTGCAAGCCAGTTCCCCACCAGGACAACAGAGGGCGTAGCGCTGTTCTGAGGTGTCCTGCCACCATTACAGTAAATGGCAAATGGCCTGTATTTGATATAGTGCCTTCTAGAGTCATGGAACCCCCCAAGGCACTTTACAACACAACCAGTCATTCACCCATTCACACGCACAGTCACGTATCTGGTCCACGATAGGGTATTTGCTATTGTGTTTACATTGTTTTAATGTTTTCAGAGACTTTTGAACACAGACCAGTGTGTCCCTCATTCCCTTCCACATCCTCATGCAATTGGCACCTCTCAATCCACGTTTCTCGTCTTTCCCAACCAATAAAACACTTGCTGAGTATCTTTACACTCCTCCAGTCACGGGGGATAAAACATTCATATTTTTAGAGTTTTTTTTGCGAGATATTCTTAAAACTTCTCCATGTCTGCCACTAGATTTTCTCGGCTCTCTTTGTTTTTGAGGGCACAATGTAGACGACAGCAGCGTCCTGACCAATCACAAGCTTGCATTCTCCGTCTCGTTGGACGGATGTTTAGAAAACACAGCTCGACTCTATCCGTCCTTGTGAGGGGTCTCCAGCAGGCTCAGATAACGGCGTTGTGCGCCTCCGTCTCGACCCAGGAGTATAAATTAGGCATTAGGCTCCGAGCACAGCAGTCGTAGCAATACATGGCAGGATACGTGCAGGACAGGTAGATTTTTAATTTGAGGGTTTTAAACACATTTGCAATCTCTGTTTATCCAAACTGAGGCTGTTCATGGCCTTTTGACTGAATGTCTTGGAGCATCAAAAACTATCAGCTGCAGGACAAGGGGTCTTGGGTACACGACAGGAATGTCTCTGGTCGTCATGACAACTTGGCCCATACCCCCCCCCCCCCCCCCCCCCACACACACACACACACACACACACACACACAGAGAGAGACCACCAGGGTCGGCTCGGATCCGATTCCTACTTTTGTTCAGGCTGATTCCGCGCGGGCAACGGAACCTGAAAGGATGCGATCTCGTGGCTCTGTTGCGGTTCAGTCCAGCTGGACCGATTCTACCATCAGGGTCAGAACCCAGAGGAACCCTCCGGTCCAGCAGAACCACTCCAGAAGCCTCTCGGTTCTCCGCGGCTGGAGAACCCGACTCTCTACAAAGAAAAGTTCGGGAAGAGGAGATCTTCCTCCTAGCCGAGCCAAGAAACCCGGAAGAACCGGAGAAGCTTACCTGGCGGGGCTCGGTTCGGCCCATCAAGAACGAGAAGCGTTGGCGTCGTTGAGCTGAGTGTGAGTGAGCGGAACCACCGAGGGCTCTGAAGGAAAGCAGCCGAGCTCCGGCTGATGTCACCGGGACAGGGAGGGGCCTGGCCGGGACCGGATTTCCATAACACCAAGGCTATGTGAGACCGGACCGAACCGATCTAGTGTCGGTGGGTGGGAGTTAGTGGGCCCCAGGCGGACCCTGTGGTGGTCAATCCATGTGTGAGAATGACGTCTCATGCTCCCTGAACCACTCTTTCACTATCTGAGCCCGATGAATCCTGGCATTGTCATCTTGGAATATGGCCGTGCCATCAGGGAAGATGGAATAACCTGGTCATTCAGGATGTTCAGGTAGTCAGCTGACCTCATTCTTGGAACACATCCTGTTGCTGAACCTAGACCTGACCACCTGCAGCAAGCCCAGATCATAACTCTGCCCCCACAGGCTTGTACAGTAGGTGCTAGGCATGATGGGTGCATCACTTCATTTGCCTCTCTTCTTACCCTGATGTGCCATCACTCTGGATCAGGGTCCATCTGGACTCATCAGACCAGTTTTAATAAAGTGCTGGACAGTTCTGAACCCACTTTTAGTCGTCTCTGCGTCTCCTTAGATGTTTTCTCTGCTTGATGCCGTTGATCTGATCCTTCCCACACAGAGTAAGGTCTTTTCCACGACCACTGCACGTGTTTCTGTACATGGTTGTTTAAGAAATGAGAAGCTATTCAGTGCACCATTCCCGTGTGGGAAATATATTCAATACATGATACAAAATGTGACTCTTTAGCGCCATGCAGTTCAGAGGAAGTACTGCAGCTACGGTGGCCCACACAAAACACATTGTTAGGGTTTTCCTGCCTAACGTAATAATCACACCGGAACGACTATTGTCTTTTTCAGCTCACCAGTGAGCACTAGAGAATGGTAAACAGGATACAGTCGTGTCTCTGCACAACTCCTAAGTTCTCCCTGCACGGTTAGCATTTATTAAGCACAGGAACACATGGGCCTGGCCACACATTACAATGATGTGGTGTGGTAAGATAGCTGCAACGTGACTTGGAACTGAAACATAACGTTCCAGACACGAACCTGTGTGTGAATGTGGATGAATCGTCAGAACGAGGACCAAATATTGTACATGGTCACACATATTATCAGATAAATGGTATTTCAAAACTCCAAAGCTTATAGCTACTCTACCAGTTAAAAAGCATTTATAATTATGACTTTTTTTGTCAGCCTACAAGTCCTGTAGGAAGCAAGCTAGTTCTGTTAGATCCTGAGAATGTCACGATTCACACACGGAGGAGGGGTGACGTCAGCCGGGAGGTCCGGTGTTGTGAAAAATTGTGTTCCCCTAAAATATTCTCTAACATATATTTGCCACTAGGGGTCAACAGCGGGCATTTTCAGTGTTTTTTTTTGCGATCTCCTGTTTTTTTTAATACAACATAAAATAAACTATTAAATCCTCATGGAATGAACCTGTTGTTGACATAACTGATATAGTTTCACATCAGAAATACTTCTCCAAGTGCGGACCATCCTACCACAAAGTTACTAACACTGCTGAAGATGATGCGTCACCAACATTTGTGGAAATGAAGACTCAGCCAGGCCTTTCTAGTGTCCGTACCTGATATCAGCGGGACGTTCTGTGATGACACGTTTTTGTTTTCTTTCTTTGTAAAGGTTTTTAGGTTTCAAAAGGAGCAGCCATTTTACTAGCTACTGGTGAACAGAGTGCTCTTGGGACCACATTCACACTCCTGCTATAATCACCCAATCAAACATGTTCACAACCTTAAGTTATGCACATATTATAGCTTTTATTTCTGTTTACAGACTCCAGACAGCAGCTCCAGTGGTAGGAGCCTCAAAGATGTCTGGCATGGCTGGACTCTCTTTCTGTTGGAGAACCTCTGACAGAGATTTGTACTGGGCTCATGTGTCTCTTTGTCCTTTGACTTGTCACAGCAGAACACTCACAGTTTTAGCTCAAGTGAAATATCTAAAGAGATTCGAATGAAGGCACTTGAAGACTGAGAACTTTCAGCTCAAGTGAAATAAATAAATTTATTTATTTTCCTGTGTCCTGTCTGGCTGTGAAGCAAACAGAATTGATGTCTGAATGCTGGTGACAAGCCTTACAGATTTACTCTCAGGTGGAGCATCAAAGCGTCTGCTTTTAATGTCACACCTGATACTTAAAACTTTATCGTTATTGTTTTTGAATGCTTTGTAATTCCTACCAGACACGGAGTCAGAGGTGAAAGAGAAAGGTAAAGACAAAGGTGGGGAGAGAGGGGGGAAGGGGGTGGGGGGTTCCACAAAAGTAAACCATAATGAACAAGAGTCTGCTTCTAGACCTGCAGAAAGAGACAAGAAAAAAAGCAAAAGAACAAAAAAAATGGGACACAACAACAATACAACAAGATCAAGCTATCACTGCGTCAACTTGATGAAGAAACTTATAATCAACATTGCTTAACTGAAGAATCACGATAATAAATCACAGTGCATTAAGTGCCCACCACAGCCTTAAGACCTGTGTTTAACGTGCCCAAGCCCATACTTTTGAGAGCACCATGTGAGCACCTGTGTGTGTACACGTGCTTGTTTATTGAATGTTTCTCTATAGGAGCGTCCAATGGAGAGTGCAAGGGACCACAGATCTGCCCCCCAAAGATGTGTAGGAGACGAGGGGGAGCTCCAAGTCCCAGAGATCCAGGCGCTGCCCCAGAACACAGGAACCCCAAGGAGACTGCAACCAGAAAGGCCGCCGCTACCCTCGAGAGGCACAAAGGATCGCCCCGGGGGGCCACAACCAGCAGCCGGCAGAGTCCCAGGAGATATCAGCGGCAAGCCCACAGGTCTGCCCGCAGCCTCCCATCCCCTAGCCGGCCGAGCCCGGGACCCAGCGACCCGTGACCCAGGGAGGACCACCCCCGCCAGGGACCCAGCAGAGCCCAGGGACCCAGACCCCACCAGGCAGCCACCGGGATAGAACAGGCAGACGCCAAAAACCTTAAACCCCCTGACCCGGGAGCCACGAACACTCAGGCAGACCAAGGCACCACAACCCACACCATGTGTGGCAGGGGGACGAAGATCTATATCATCAAAAGATGTTCCAGGAGAGGGGAGGAGTCAATGGCCCCACCTGACATATACAGTCATACACAAACACAGCCACACACTCCCTCCCTCATGTTCTGCGTCTTTGTCCTCATCAGTGATGAGGAGAGTGAACTTTAGAGAACTTTAGATTCCACTTCCAGTCGGCAACACGATGGCGCCTGTGCTTGGCTTAGCCGCGGTCACCGGCCACTTTTTCAAAATTTTCTCCACTAACCTCCTCTTTTCCACCTTGCTCCTGTCTGCGATCCTCTTCAGTAGTGTCCTTGCTACCATCTCCTATGATCGCCAGACTCTTTTGTCCTTCCGTTTGTTCATGATCGCCCAAAATGCACTGAGGATTTACCTTCCTATTTGTTTACCTGAGCGGCGCACTGGCCCGGAACCAAAAAATTATCCAGAGCTGCGCACCTCTAGCGATGTTTGTCTGGTCCCTGGAAAACGTCGGAGGAAAAGAGGCAAACGAGCAGGAATCCATGTGAGAATGAATTCTCTTAAAGAGTGGTTTATCTGGTAAACATCGGCGCGATCTTCTAGCTTCTTGTCCTTTGTTTGGTGACCTGAGCGCCACTTCCGCATTCCCGCCAGGCCGCATTGGGACGCGGTTCATCCGTCCAAGTTTTTTAAAGTCGGTTTATCCTCATTCCTCAGCGGTTTCTCCTCCTGTTCCCTCCATAAGTGGTTTTTATAAACACCGTGGATCTAACCCCGCTAATTTACGTCCACTAACTCCAGCTGTTTCTGTAGTTTCTGATTCCTCCACCTCACTCAGCATGGCTCTATTAAACACCCGCTCTGTTAACAATAAGTGCTTCCTGCTCAATGACCTAATTCTCTCTAAAAACCTGGATTTTCTGTTTCTGACTGAAGTTTGGCAGCAAACATCTGATTATTCTGGTCTGATTGAACTCTGCCTGAGTGGTTATTCTTTTCTTAGCCAGCCCTGGGGTTCTGGTCGTGGTGGAGGCCTAGCTGTTGTTTTCAGAGACCATCTTCCATGTAGCTCTACAACCTCTGGTCACTTTGCTTCCTTTGAACTGCAGCTGATTAAAGTTGGGTGTAAGGACCCGTTCTACTGTGCTGTGGTTTATCGTTTATCGTCTTAGTCCCTACACCCCCAGCAGGTCCCTGAGGTCCAGTGATCAAAGCCTACTGGTTGTGCAGCACCAGGCTAAAGACCAAATGTGACAGATCATTTGCTGCTGTGGCCCCCAGACTCTGGAACTCTCTCCCCCTGAGCCTGAGATCAGTGGACTCAGTGGTCTCCTTCAAAAAGCAGCTGAAGACTCACTTGTTCAAGCTGGTTTTGTATGACCTTCTTCAACCACTCTCTCTTTATTCTGCTCTCCCCACCTATTCCACCTTCCTCAGGATCCACTGATTTCCCTCTTTCCTATTCGCTCTCTCTCTTTCTTAACATTTTTTTTTAAATCGCAATTGCTTATTTTTGCTCATTTTAAATATATTTTTAAACATTTTCTAAATGCTTTTTTATATTTTTACATTTTCTTTTTATTTTTGTTTTTGATTTTGTGAAGCGCCTTGTGATTTTTATCTTGAGAGGCGCTATAGAAATGATTTTTTCTTCTTCTTCTTCTTCTCACACATACACATACAACCCAAGACTTACAAAAATGCGCGCCGGACACCCACTCATGCTCCCCATACACACCCTATTCACTCTGGTCCCGTTACTGCTGCACATTGGGTACAACCACCACCGGTTACCAGACTTTGACCCTTTCTGCTGGGGTGCTGATGAGCAGGCTCCCCCGCCCAACGCTGAGCACAGCAACCCACCACCCCAGACCCCAACCAGACGGCCAGATCTCCCTCCTAGCCTCCAGCCCCAGGAATTCAAGCAACAACAGAGGTGGGCTAAGACCCCTAGTCTCCCTCCGCCTGCTCCAATATAGTGTTGTGTGTACATGAGGTGTATTCCATGGCTGTGGTGAGCGGGCAGTGCGGGCATTGTCTGGCCTATGCCAGCTGATGCC